ATTTCCCCTCGTGCTGATCATGTTCCACAAACAATTAGTACTCAAGTGGGATGTTGACAAAATGAAATTCAAGTGGATGCAAAGTCATTGCATCTGAAGAAAGCCACATACTTTGTTATTTTCTATGTAACAACCCATAGCCACATTTATGGGAAGTAAAGGATTGATATATTAAAAAAGATTCACTGTGATTTCAGAAACTCCTATAATATCTGCACCAGAAAGAAGACTTTGCGGCCAAGTTCAAACTGAAGCAATACCTGAGTAAGCCTTATGAAACACAAAATTGCACTAACGGTTTGATCTCGGATCGAAAGATTAGCACGTTTACTCGACCCCACCGAGAAAATGGTAGTACAAACTGAAACACTTGGGTTCTGCAATTAAACAACAAAAGCATTTTATCCTTCAATTTCAAAACCCCGATAATAGATATTAAAATTCAACATTCAGAATATGAAATTAATAAACGAAGCCAGGACCACCGCTTTATACCAAAAACATTTAAAAATCCAGTTAAAGGAAAAATAAATTACCTTTGGGAATTCACTGAGAAGCCTACACCAAGGCCAGGTGGTTTCTTGACCTTGACGCTGTTTACAGGAAGTGGTTGAGCTCTTTATCTTGTCGGCTATAACCGGCTTGGTCCCTAAATTTCCAAAAATAAAAAATAAAAAACAAAAAGCCCCACGTTTTCAGTATTTTACGAGCACATACAAAGAATATGAATTTGTTTAATTTCAAAAATTAGATAAACTCTAGCCTTCTGCAACTATAGGAGTGACGTCGGAGACGGAGGCAGCTGCAACCGGAAGTTCCGGTAGATCGGTGGAGCTGTTCTCCTTTGGATTCTCTGCCGGCGGAGTTGATTTCTCCGATGCTTTTGAATTGCTTCCATTACAATTACTACTCTCACCCTATCGAAAAATAAAAATTAAATTAAATTTTCAAAATCAACGGTCCAAGTTGAACGATTTAGAAATAATAAAAACTAGAGAGAGATAGAGGAGAGTGCCTTTTGACGCTTAGGAGATGAAGACTCCGCTGGAGAAGATTTCTTATTTTTGTTGTTGTTATTATTATTATTCGACGGCAGAGATCCACTTCGCCTCGTCGACACCATCTCTGTTCTTCACCGGCTCTTCCTCTTCGAATGTAGAAAGAGAAAGAGAGAAGTATATAAATATATAGATATATTTATTTGAATTTGTATGTATAGATTCCTGTGTATGTAGCAGAGAGTGAAGAAATGCGCGCAGGTTGGGAAGTGGGTCGGGGTGAACGGGTTATGGTTGAAACTTTGGGCACCGAGAATCGTGGATTTATATAGAGGTTAAGCCGGAAGGGGAAGTGCTTATGTTAGCCACTTTATTGCTATTTCCACCAATGTGCGCAGCCATGGTGCATAGGTCAGCACAGAGCTGATGCCCGAAAGGAAAGTGCTCAAGTTAGCGGCTTTCTTATCGAATCACTAGCATACGCAACCATGGTGTTTTTCGCATTACTTGACTCTTGCCAGGAAAGGGGAGAGAATTTGCAAAATAGGTCGTTTTATCCACAAAATGCAAATAAATAAATAGAATGTTGACATCACCACTCAAATTAATAAATTAAACTTGCAAAAATGTGTTGTTTTATTATGTAACAAAATGCCAAATGAACCAAAAATTTCAGTAAGTATGCCTAATGTTTTGTTTTATGTGATAAAATAGCAAAATAAATAAATAAAATTGACTTCATTATCAATAGATAGACAACTAACTAAAGAACAAAGTCACTCGATTACTTGCTAAATCAAAGGGAGTAGAACGCAACACCCTCCAATGAGCAAGAGGAAATTTGAGCCTAGCATCATCCACCAATTAATCGGGAGAATAGTACATTTCTACTCAAATGCTTTTTAAACCGAGACTCTTTGGTGTTTTGGGAGCATACTTGACATTAGATAAATACGTGCTAGCCTGATACAAACATATCAAGATAAGAAGATATATAGGTCAATTCCACAAAGAGTAAGTTCGCCCCTTATGTTATGGCTCGTCTTGCGCTTGAGAATATGTCTTGAAGATGTAAATGAGTTTAACATTGAAATGATGATCTGTGATGTTGTCCAATTCGAAAGGATGAATGCTAACGAAAATGAATCAGATCTACAACACACTTGTTTCAAGACATAATAAGAAATATTAGCTAAATTAAATATTTTGTTAATGTCTATCTTTATCTAAATAACTATTTATTCATGTATGTGAGTAATTAATCAATATGTTAATTATCTTTATTGATCAAATTGTTTTTTGTTTGTTTGTTTTTTTTTATCTTTACAAGCAATAAGTGATATTGACGTTATCTTTTTAAATGGAAAGTTATGTTTACGTGTACAAATAATTGGTTGGTGTGCTAATTCTTTTATTTTATTTTTTATTTTTTATATATATTTGAAGACAAAAAGGTCTTTAGTTGGGATGGAAATGTTGCTGGGTGACCCTTTTCATTTCTACCCTAAAATTATCAAACAATGAAACGGCTAAGCAAGAATTTGATTATAATAATAAAAAGGGTAATTAGTTATCATACAGAACGGCCTTAACTTCTACTTTTTGGTATTATCATCCTTGATCGTACAAAAGGTCATTTTCATTCATTTCCATCCAATTTCTCCACTAAGTGTAGACAATTATTTTCAAAATTGAAGCGTATATAGTCTTAGAAAATTTTCCCATTTTAGATAAGCCAGTAAAGGTTCTCGTGCCTCACAAAACATCCAACAAGAAGTGCAAAAATGAACGAACAATTTTTTCTTAAATTTGTTTCAAAATTAATCAATAAACTTTTGTCGGCTTTCAAATGATACTACCAACAGAGAAAAAATAATTAATTTTTTTGGGTCTAGTCGTTAATTTTTGCATTTCGATCCCATTTGTGGATCCGATCCTTAAGAGAAAAGTCTCAAGCCAATGAAATTTTCGTCAATAATTTACATGGCAAGAATCAAAGAAGTTTTTATTTCTCTTTGGGTGCATTAGTTTTCTCATTTCACTGTTTAGGCATTGATAAGTGTGTTTTTGCACACTTATTTACGCCACAAACATGACTTAATAATGAGCAAAATGATTAAATTGTGACTTAATCTCGTTATATTTGTGAATTGTAGGGAATACCGATGAACATGGTGAAATTCAGAAGAAAATAGCCGAAAAAAGACTAAAATAGAGCAAAGTGATAGTTCGAGGACCAAGTTGCAAATAATCCATAGATGAGACGGGAAATGAAATGAAGATTCAAGAGTGTTAGAGGTTAATCAGATGAGGAAAGGAGTCAAGAGGTGAAATATGATCGAAGTATTATCAAGTATCAACTTTCAAGCGAAAAAGTTATGCTCGTGATTTTTAATCTCTACTTGAGATCCATTTTTGACATAGTAAACATCAGAATTTAAGGAAGCCTATTTCTATCAAAAGTGTAGATCTTTGAGTTTTCTTCACAATGCACTTTGAATCACTTCAATCGAAGATCAAGAGAGAAAGTTATGATCAAAATACTAAAAGATGTCCAGCGGAAAGAACGGTATAACTATGCGGTCGCATAGTATAAATTCTATGCGGTCGCATAGAAGCCTCCCGAGAACTTTTTCTCAAATTTTTTACTCTATGCGACAGCATGGAAATGTACTATGCAGTCGCATAGAACAAGATTCGGGGCCGATTCAGCAGTTTTCTTATTTCGCCGAAACTCTTATGGAAAGGAGATTTTTAGGGTTCTATATAAACTAAAACTCGACCAGAATGAGGGAACGCCACTTTTACAGAATTGGAGGGGATTATACACAATTTTGGAGGATTTGGAGAGGAAGAACAAGGCAAAAACAAGGTAATCTACTTCAAGATTCAAGATTTCACTTCAAGAATCAATTGGGTGATG